TGCTGGGTTTTACAGACAGAATGCTGCATTGACAGGAAGAAGGACAAGATAGACGACTCTTCTAATCCTTTTATACTTTGAGTTCTATAAATGAGTCAGAAAAGGCACTAGGCCAGGCACTATGATACTCAGGTGAAGCCATGATCTTCCTTGCAAATATAAATATATAGATATATGTGAAAAATGTTTGTAGTATATGCATCAATTTGTATGATGTGGTTTGGTGCTTATTATAAATTTATTATATCAAATGTTAAAATGACATTAACAAAATATAGATTACTCATTAATGCTTAGAAACATTTTTATTATTTGGCCTCTATTAAAATTAAATTTTTATATTAAATTTAAGCTATTTGAAGGTATTTTACAACTTAACTTTGAAGTCTAGAAATTCCGAATGAATTGCTCCAGGTTGCTACTTTATGTTGTTAGTACAGGCCCTGTTTGTTTTTTATTTAACCTTTAAGAAAACATTGCAGAGAATATTTCCAATCTCTCCTACAAGCAATAGATACTCTTTAATAGTTATGTCTTTTATTTTTGCAGGAGCAATCTATATCTACACTGAAGGTCAATTTCTGTTGCCATATATAATGGTTAGGCATAAAATCTGGTGAGATTATTTGTTGAAACAAGTTGATTATAGTAACTTTTTATATAAAACTTTGGGAAATTAGACTATATCAAATCATACATATGTGGTATGTTATTATAAGGTAATAATTCTAATTCCCCACAAAAACTATTCTTATTCCATTTTAACCTTGTCTCATGAAATCACCTTACATTAGAGCAGTTACAGAAAGACTATTTGAAAGGCTATGGAAGAACCTGAGTAAGGTATGACGATGCTTGGACTCAGAAGAAGTAATACAGATGGGAAGAGTAGAAGAATCCAAAAGACAGAAAAGAGAATCAATAGGCTTGTTGATTAATTGGCATATTACAAATAGTTTCTTAAGGCTGCAAACATGTATTAAATTTATTTTTCTTAAAGCAACTAAAACTGTGTTATACAATAATAAACATTCAAGAAATAACTATGATAAATCTATAAATGACTCTCATAGGCTTCCAAACTATCTGAATGGCATGTTAACAAAAAAGGTGACAGCCTTTCTGCACTGTACAAAACATGGTTCTGTACTTTAACCCAGCAGTACGCTATATCTGCCAGCCACAGAACTGCTGTTGACATTTCTTAGGTTCCACAAGGAAATTCTACCACTTCTGGAAAGGCAAGAATAGTTATGCTAAGCATATTTAGTTTATGTATAATCCATCTTTACCAGGTCCATCACTATATGAAAAATAAGATTTAAAATGCATAACCTAAAGCAATTTATTTAGAATTGTCACTGAAGATGTAATCACATAGCCAGGAAGTTAACAAAAATAGTTTCCTAACTAGTATCTTAACTGATTTCTGCTTCCACTCTTGCTCCTCTATTACCAATATGAACGCTGCTAAGACTCTTTTTATGGAAATCATATCATGTCACTGCACTGCTTGAATCCCTCCAATAGCTTCCCATTTCAATCAAGTCAAACCAGTTTTCTTAATATTTTATAAGGCCCTACATGATGTCTCTCACCATCTCTCTTCCCTCTCTAATATCATCTCCCACTATTCTTGCTCACTGTTCCAGGCACAATGGTTTCCTTGTTATTCCTTAAACATCCCCAGCATGTTCCTGTCTAAGCTGTGTACCGGTAACTCCCACTGCCTGGAAAGTGTGTCTCCCAGATGGATTCTTCCTCTGTCCGTTTCATCAGGCCATTGTACAAATGTCTTCTTTTCAAAAGACCTCTCAGTCAACTCTATTTAAAATTGTAGCTCTCTATCACCACACCTCATACCCCTTAGCTTGCTTGATTTTCCCCCTTAGACTTACTATCTTCTAACAGCTATAAATGTAACTTGTTTATTTTGCTTATTGTCTATCTCCCCTCAATAGTGAATATAGACTCCATAAAACTGGGTTTTTTCTGCTTTATTTTCTGCCCTAGCTCCGGCACTTAGTCTAGTCCCTTAAACAATGCAAACTCAAAATTTGTTGAGAGAATTACCACATATAGAAATTTTGCCTGAATTTAACCAGTTTTCAGTAATGTTAGAAACATTAATGAAAAGATGAATAAATGAGCTACAAAATACTGAGTACCACGTTTTCCTATAACTTGTAATATATTGGAACCTTGAACATATTGAAGAACATATTCAGCAGAATGAATCACACAAGCACCCACTCTGACACAGGACCTATGGCCGGAGGTGACAGGAGAAAGTCCAATCAATCCTCACACTTCCCAAACTGTAATTGAACTGGGAATTATTCAGGCTGTAAGATAACTGCCTTCAGATAGAGATGATTGTGAGTTTTTAAAAAGTTAAATGAGTTTGGTTGATCAGGTGGGTCTAATTGTTACTAACTTAACCTAGGCCTCCACTCATGGAAAAGAATGCTGTACGCAGGTGACCATTGTTGAGGACTTAACACTTGCAGGCTTGAGACATTCCCTGTTCTGACCTTTCTTGAATCATGGGTCATGAGTTGGTATAAAAGGCATTCATCAGTTGGATAAAATTAGTCATGAAGTATTCTTAGAGATTATTGGCAGCTGAACCTACTGTACTAATTTGGTAAACCGCAAAGTGTACTACTTGTTAAAGCTATCCAACACTTCAGAGTCTCATAAATACATCCTTACAAATACATCCTGGACTCTTGCACACCTATTTACACCAGATGCCAGAATCCTTTGAAGCCTATAATTTTGTGTGGAGCTCATATGGAACGATGGAGGATGAGAAGGATGTTTGGCCACACTAGCCATATCAAACTTGGCAGTCAGTGGGGTGATGGAGCTCAAAAACCTCTCAGCCAGGCACAGAGTCAGGTCTGATTCTTCTGCCTCCCTAGAACCTACTATACTCTACTTATTCATTCCTTTGGCACTTTTTTCTTCATTTGAAATATTTGTTGATAACCTACTTATATAAGGCACTTCTGGAGCTAAAGTAGTGATGAGGTTTGGTTCTGTGTTCCCAACCAAATCTCATCTCCAAATGTAATTCCCGTGTGTCAAGGGAGACACCTGGTGGGAGGTGATTGGATCATGGGGTGGTTTCCCCCATGCTGTTCTTGTGATAGTCAGTTAGTTCTGATGAGATCTGTTGGTTTTATAAGGGGCTCTTCCCGCTTCGTTCTCTCTTTATCTCTCCTGTTGCCTTGTGAAGAAGGTACTTACTGCTTCTTTACCTTCCTCTATGATTGTAAGTTTCCAAGGCCTCCCCAGCCTTGTAGAACTTTGAATCAATTAAATCTCTTTTATTTATGGATTACCCATTCCTTGACAGTTCTTTATAGTAGTGTGAAAACAGACTAAGACAAGTAGTGAACAAGAACCAGCATAATCCTTCCATCCAGTAAGCTCCATAGGATGGAGCTTACTGAAGAGGCAGATATACCGTGTTACATTTGCAACATCTATCACAAAAAGAAATAGAAATTGATGAGAAAGCATATTACCTAGACCTTACCTGGTTTATGTAAGACATAAAGTCTCATAGGAAGTGACTAATCTGAGATCTGAAAAATGGTTAGGAGTGAGCTAGGTAAGAAAGGATACTAAATATGGGGGCACCAGTCATGAAGACACACAGTATTTTCAAGAAACTAGAATGCAAAGAATAGGAGTATAGAGAGGAATGAAATAATTCTAATATGTGAGGCAAGAGACAGGTCTTAGGGAACCTTGAAGTGAATGAGTCAATGTGAAGAATTTTGATTAAGGGAAATAGGAAGAGTTTATGGGACATCAAGCTGGAGAATGATGTGAATAGGTCCATTTTCAGGGAGATAATCACTTACTATAGTATGTATAGCATTGCTTGGTATGGAAAATTTCAGTGGCTATTGTATCAATATAGAAGCACCAGGGATCAGTTAAGAAGCTAGTTAGATAACTACTTTTGCTAACTTCTAGCTAGCCCACTGAATGTCTCTAGTGATATTTTGAAATGAAATTTCCTAAGGCTATAAGTTGTGCTTTTCATACGTTAGAGCAGATACAGAAACGCTATTTGAAAGGCTTTTGAAGAACCTGAGTAAGCTATGATGATGCTTGGACTCAGGTGGAGTAATAGAAACAGGAAGAGTAGAAGGATTCAAAAGACAGAAAATAAAATCAATAAGGCTTGCTGATTAATTGGCTATAAGGTAAGATAAGGATAGCTGAAAACAGAGTTGAATTATTTACTGCATTGAAGAGCATCAGAGAAAAAACTGGTTTGGAATGGAAAATTGTGAGTTCACTATTGAACATATTGACATGGAGATGCTTGTCAGACATCCAAGTGACCTTTAAAATGAGTGCAAGATAGAGAGGTTTTGAGAAAGGAAGAAAGACCTGGGCTAGAGGCAGAAATGGGAGTAGTTGGCATGTAGATGGTCACTGAAGCCATCAGACTGCACAGAGAATGGAATCTAGGCAATAGATCAAGTGAGTAAAGAAGGGGTTGCCTTGAGGAATTCAAACATTTCAAGAGTGGATAGAAGAAAATGGCTGGCAAAGATATTGAAAGTAAGTTATCGGGGAGATAGGATGAAAACATCATCCTACATGTTTATGGAATGAATGAATGAATGAAAAAGAATGCTGGAAACATAGTGCTAGAGTCCTCCTTTATTAGTCAGACAAAGTGTTTCTGGTAGTAAACTTGGATATCACAGATGGCCTAGAGATATCTATACCTGTTAGGAGCATCCATCCTTGGCTGTAGAGAACACTCCCTCAGCCCCAGAACGTGCCTTTGTTGCCCTTGTGCTTGGTGTTAGGTGTGGCTGGCCCATGCTGGTTCCTTATCCAGGAGGTAGGCATTGTTGGCCAACAAGTTGGCCTTAGTTGGCATATCATTATTACCACCTAAATCAGGCTGAATGCTTTAGACATTCCAGTTAGCTTATCAAGAAGGGACCTGAGTCATGGGAAATTACATCATAGGCCAAATACTATGTTGATAAGGTGTGAAAGCCAATCCTCTCATTTCCACATTAGACATTATGTACTGTCCGTTCATGAGTGGAGGTTGGAGAAGTACAAAAGCAAAAAAAAAAAAAAAGAGTAGAAATATATCTAGAGTGCTTAGAGGTGATTTCATCAAATAATACTCTCAACTTTTAATGTGCACATGATTCTGATACAATACAACTGATGAGATGCCTAGAATTCTATATTTTCAGCAAGCTCCCAGGGGATGTGACTGTTTCTGCCCCAAAAACCACACTTTGAGTCCAGGGTTTAAATTATATTTTAGCACTAACAAGGAGGAAAATAAGGTAGCCCTCTAAGCAGTCAGAGCATAAACTGATCAAGAGAGACACAGGATGCCGTGTAAAGCCCAGATCTGACCTCGAGGTTTGGACACAAGTCCTCCAGTAAAGGATGTGGATGGCAATGACCAATTAATGTGTACTAGACCTGGTTACTTAAAGGTTTCCACAATGGTGGACTTCATGGTTCTTAGGTGCCTTTAGTTTTTTGGATCTCCAAACACTCTTATTGCAGGACAACTTGAAGCATATACATTTGTAAACATAGATAAAAAGCAAAGTTTTCATGGATCAGCAGCCTCTTTAGCTGTGATTTTGCTTTGGAATATAAAGACTTTTCCTAATGTTTAATGCAATACAAAATATTTATAGTAAGAAAATTGAATCTACTTAAATTTTGCAAGCTTAATTTTATAAGGTATAATGAGCAATTTTGTGTGTGACAGAGCTTAGAAGCATTGTATTTGGATCAGCACTTAAATTTTAAAGTAAAATACAAACTCTACACTATTATAGATTTTGTCTTCTGCAAAGTATGTTCAAAGTAAAAGTTGAAAAAATATGACATAAAGAGAGAAAGATAAATAAGAACTAGAGAATATATAATATAAAGTGAAGCAGATAAGGCAAATTAAAATAAGGATTTTTACAGGGGAAAACAATTTCATTTTATTGTAAATACCTAAATGAATAACAGAAGACTTTGAATGTGAAGATGATTAAAAAGACAAAATCATTAGCTAAAGATATTTACAAGTTTAGACTCTTTCATTTTGATTGTAATTTTAATTAGCTGGACACAGGGGGAGAAGAAAATGAAAGCCTACATCATCTACTTACTCTTTAAACTGCATTCCACCTTAATTTTCTGCTTTTTAGTTCTTAATTTTCTCTATTTTTGTTCTAAGTAATCAGGTTATCAGGCTAAAGTGATTTTTTTCTCAGCCAGGTTTAGTATTCAGTATTTGCATCTATGAACAGAAGAAGTTCTCCCCATTGCTTTAGTTTTTATTCTTTCAATAGCAAAAACTCTCTACAGGTAATTTTTTTCAGTCTTTTGTTTATTCAGCAGGGTGCTTCATATACTCATGACAGTTAGATGACTAAAAACAAAGGCTCCTATTTTCAAAATAATTATGCTCTATTTACACAGTTTTCCGCAAAATTTACTCATAAAATTTGGAAGGCAATAAAGCCTTTAAAAGCTGTAGTTTTACTATTTATTAAAGCCATTTTTTCTGTGTACAAGCAAGTCGCTTGTTTCAGTATCTGATAAAATAGAAGCCAAAAATTCAGTATTAGTAATCAAATTCGGGATTTGTATATACATGAATAAAAATTTTAAAAATTACATTGAACACATCTGTTTAGAATAACCTACTTTCAAAAGAGTTTATCTTCAAGACATTATCTGGCTTTTTAGTAGTGCTATTTATTTTGCATTTGTTAAAGAAAACAAGGCCAGGGGTGGTGGCTCACACTGCTAATCCCAGCACTGTGGGAGGCTGAGATGGACAAATCACCTGAGCTCAGGAGTTCGAGACCAGCCTGGCTAATATGATGAAACCCTATTTCTACTAAAAATACAAAAATTAGCTGGGTACAGTGGTGGGCACCTGTAATCCCAGCTACTCGGGAGGCTGAGGCAGAAGAATTGCTTGAACCCAGGAGGCGGAGGTTGCAGTGAGCTGAGTTTGTGTCTCTGCACTCCAGCCTGGGCGACCAAGCAAGACTCTTTATAAAAAAAAAAAAAAAAGAAAGAAAACCAAACAAAACAAATTAGTGTAGCTAACCATGTATTATGTCTTGTTCAGTTTGTCCCTTCTTCCAAAACATATGCACTCAAATAATGTAAAGGAATAATGTTGAAGTGTCTTGAGGTCTAAGGATGAAAGGCACTATTTAAGTGGTGGTAACATTTATTATTCTGCCATAGATAAAGAGTTAAAATTGACTTTTAAAACTATTGTGGACAATTTCATTTTGCTTCCCCATAAGTCAGAAACAATCAAAGCATGGAGCTTTCATCATATGAACTATACATTCAAACTAGAACTAGTAGGGAGTATAAAAGGAATTATCCTAGTAATTAAATACCCGCAAATAAAGCATTAGTTGCCAATCATAGCCAAACAGAATGATTGTTAAGGAACAGCTAGAAAGTTCAGCTGTACCTCATCCAATGTCTCCTGTCTAAAATTCCAAAATATATTTGTATTTTTTAAAAAGCCTTTCTTACCTTCAAATACAAATGTTCATTGAGAGATATGACCCTTTGAAGCTTATAATTGTTGCATATTTTAATTTAATTTAATTTATTTATTTTGAAATGGACTTTTACTCTTTCGCCCAGGCTGGAGTGCAGTGGTGCAATCTCGGCTCACTGCAACCTCTGCCTCCTGGGTTCAAGCAATTCTCCTACAGGTGCGCACCTGTAACCCCAGCTACTTGGGAGGCTGGGGTTACAGGTGCGTGCCACCATGCCTAATCTTTGTGTTTTTAGTGCTGGAAGGGTTTTGCCATGTTGGCCAGGCTGGTCTTGAACTTCTAACCTCAAGTGATCGGCCCACCCCAGCCTCCCAAAGTGCTGGAATTACAGGCATGAGCCACCACACCTAGCAAGGTGCATGATTTTAGTGAATATGAGCTCCACAAATTTTCCAAACATAGAGTTTGAGAATGGGGTAGCATAATAGAGAGGAGCTAAGAAGTTCAGAGAGAATTAGAGGGGGTTTTGAGGGTGAAAAATCTGAAATGAAAAGAAAATGAAATACAGGAGCAAAAGAGACAAAGTTCCTAATCTTGTCCAAGAATGTGATAAGAATTAACATTAAAATTATTAGAAAGCATCAACAAAGGATGCCATGAAATCCCCTTCTCTGGAAGTCTTTTAAAATAGAATAGTTGGGTCTTTCCAGCATGGCTTAGATGTGCTATTGAATATAAGGTGATGACATTGATTAATTGTCGTATCCAGGATTAATAGCTCTCTGAAATGCATCATACCTGAAAGGTCTTTTCTTTAATGGAGTATTGGGCTGTTGTGCCACTTTGGCTATAATTTGGATATGCTGTAGCAGCGCTGAGATTTAATCCAGTATTTCTTGTCTTGTTACTCCTGTCCGTTTTGCCTAATAGTTATTGCTCAATGTTCAGACTCTTGCTTCAAAATCAACTGAATTGCTTTGTAAGTATATAGATTATCAAGGCCCCATCCTTTTTTGGGGGTTCAAATAACCCAATTTATGAATCTTCAGGGGCCGGTTAAAATGAGGGAGGGACATGTTTTTGGAGTTGGAAAGTCAGAGAGTGGCAAGGCAGAGTATTTTCCAATAAGTTAATATTGCTATCACCTGCTGGGGGGCCCCACCAGGTATATTTCTCATCCTGGGTTGGGTGTGTACCCTCCAACTCTGTAGCACCCCCCACCACTCCAGTTATAACACTTAGGAACACTGCATTGTATTTTATTGTTTAGCTGAGTAGCCCTTCTTAGCTCTCATGTTAATAAAGGGCCATGTGTTTTTAATTTACTTTTAAGTTTCCAGAATCTAGTATTGTTTCTGAAATAAGGCAAATGATACCTTTGAATACAAGAATAATTCAATGAATAAATAAAGAAGTGCTGGTTGTATAAATTATATTTAAAAGACACACAAAAAAAGAAAAAGAATATATCTTGCTAACAAAATAAAACAGAAAAACTGTATCAGTAATATTATTGTATTATGTGTTGTTCATTTAGTTAACAATTATTAGTATATTACAATCAATTAGTTAACCCTGACTAAATTCTTATTATGTGTCAGAAGTTCTAAATACTTTAAATGCCATATTTAATTCATACAACTGTGTAAGTGGTATGTTATTATTATTAGATTTTTCAGAGTAAAGGCAGGTCCAGTAACTCATCCACAGCCAAACATCTAATAAGAGAGGACTAGAGCTGAAACCAATGCAGCTGGACCCTTGAACCTATGCTCCATGCTATTATTCCATGTAATGTAGACAGTGATGAAGATACTGTGCTAGGAATGGTGGAGGATGCTAAGAATCAGCTCCTGCTTTTAAGGGGACTTACAGTAATTAACTATACATGTTTATCTGAATAATTTGATCTCCTTTTTTCTTTGCAATTTAAGAGAAGAGAGAAAGAAAACAGGGAGGGAAGGACGAGTAAAGGAAGCAAAGAAGGAAGGACGGAAGGAAGGAAGGAAGGGAAAAAAGGGAGAGTAGGATGGGGAAACAGCCCTAGTTCTTCAACAGGTTTTTTATCCAATTTACACCTATTTGATTCTGTTCCAGACAAAGAACAGTGAATAAAAGCTCTCAAGCCAGCACTTCTACCCACAAAATTTTTTCACTATTCTTTGAGTATTAAAAAAAGAAATCCAACTCCTTACACAAAGAAATGATAAATGTTTGAGAAGATGGATATGCCAGTTACCCTGATCTGATCACTATACATTATATGTATTGAAACATCACTACATACCCTATGAATATATACAATTATTATTTGTCAATTTAAGACAGTATTGTAAATCTGAGGATTAGTCTCTATTAGAAAAAGAAATCTGTCCTTTGTAAATAACTTGAAAGAAAACAATTTTGCTGCCAAAAATCTCAACACCTACTTTATGTGTATAATATATTTAAGTTTATATGTATACATAATATATATTTCATTTT